ACATCTTTGGCCAATCAGCAAACATTGAGATAACTTGGTTGGGCAGTGTTAGTGCAGCCACCATAAATAGTCCTGATCTTGCACCCTCAGGATTTTACCTGTTTCGGTCTCTTCAGAATTATTTGGGTAGTGTTGGGTTAACATCAAGAGAGGACTGTCAAAACAACTTGTCGCATTTTTTGATCAAAATCCTCAAGATTTCTGCAGTAACGGTATTATACCACTACCTACAAGATGGCAACAAGTTATCGCACAAAATAGCACATACACATTATAATTATAAATAAATATAATTAAACTTTGAAAAAAAAATCTTAAATTTGTATACAAAATACGAAGAAACTTTTTCGCCGACCTTATATTAGTACAGAGTATGGTTGGAAATTCGGAAAATTCTGATCACTGCTTTAAACTTTGGACGTGTATGTAAAAAGCAAATATCAAAAGACACGGCACCGCTAGTTAAAACATACTCTACAAAAAAAAAGTCTATCACATGTAGTGACAATTGCCCATGGTATTGAGTATGAGCAGCAAGCTCTGCAGCAGATAGCAGCAGCAAGAGAAACTGAGGTGATAACATGCTAACATAGGTCAAGTACATCCAAAAAGGCCTAATAAATGCAATGGAGGTAAATAAAATGAAAATATTCAAATATGATAAAAAATTAACACCATAACAATTAACAAAAAAAAGTGATTTGTACTACCAGGTAGAGGGCAGAACGTCAAATATGTATATTCTTGGAATTCGGGCCGATGGAGTCCTCCCCTCGGATCGTGCCCAGTTTAGACGTCTGGTTAGAGTTAATCTACGCTACGATTTTATTTCGTATTTTTATTGTAATTTACATCTATTTAATTGGACACAAAAATAGGAGAATATAAGTGGACGGGAGTTTTTCTGCAACCTACAAGTAATCTGTAGTGTGCGTGCATAAGATCTTGAAATATCTCGGAATGTGTGTGTGTGACTCAATAAAAGTGCACAATCAATCAAGTGACAAGTGGGAACGTCCGTCATACTAACGCAATGATGCATCTACAACGTATCACACACTGCTACCGATTCATAAAACGATTTCGTAACACATACAGTATCCTTACAAAGGGGTCTATGTTAATTGGACGGAACGAATTTCTGTATGAAATTGTCGATCCCCGACACTGCTTTTACTACATTTAGCTGAATCTTGAGGTCCTAGTATTATGATATTGTTTCTTTTAAAGTTTTAATATGCCACTCAAACGTACACCACCCCCGCTAACCCTCCAGTGGACAAGAGCAAAAACAATTTTTTTTTGTTTTTCCTGCATCCTTAGAAAATAGCGCACGTTCTCGCTTGACATGCCTTCTCTAAATAACGATAATGTTACTTTGAGGCGGAAAACTGGAGATAAGTATACTATGGATTATTTTATGGAGGGAATTAAAGGGATGCTCACCTAGTCTTCGGAACAATATAAAAGAAAATTTCCATACAGACTGCTATGAAGGAAATCCTATACTAAAATAACGAAATAAAGAAATCCATTCATATGGTATTGAAGCAGTACGATGTGATGAAAGTTAAATTTGATCCTCGCGAGAAACAAAGAAATGGTGACCGATTATATATACATCAAATAGAAGAAAAATTAATACGTTGGAGCATCTCATTGTAGCTTGAATTACGTAATATCCCGGCGGGAACTAGAGAAACTAAAGAAAGTTTATGCAAAATTGTATTAAAGACGGCTAACGTCCTGGAAGTTCCTCTCGAACAGCAAGAAATAAAAGACATATATTGCACCAAAAGTAAAACTGGAAGTGTAAATATCATTTTCGACTTGAGTAATTTACTAAAGAAAGAATTTTTTTTAAAAAATGCGCGCAAATGTAACACAAAAATTTCTTTTAAAATGAGCCATTCTGGTTTTTCAAATACTTTCAATTTTCTTTCGATAATATCGGTTTTTTTTTTATAACTTATGAGTAGGGCCTAAAAATGGGGATCCGATATCTGCACCAGTGAGCGACTCAGAATCGATTTTTGAGTCCTAGGAAAATTATCTTGAAACGAAAACTGCTAAACGTCACTAAAGTTAAAAAAAAATCCAGTGACAAAATAGAAATTTAAAGAAGAAATATGAATCTGATAAGTATTATAAAATCTTTGAGAAAGAAAATGTGTCTCAGTGATGGGAGTAATACAATGGCTAAAGCTGAAGTTGTCGAACACAAGACGTTTATTAAGAAAACCAAATAGAGCACACAATATTTCGAATATACACCAACTCTGCGTAAATTTGCTTTAACGTTGTATTATTACTCACCAGCGGCTTACAAATATTTAAGACAAATTTACAGTTATGTTTTTCCACAACCATGTACTCTCTGTCGATGGTTGATAATGTAAATATAATGAATGATATTTCATAGCCAACAGAATCTCGGTACTGTTGGTTTTGGCGCAGGTCCACAAGAAGACGACGAAGAATTTGCATCACAGGCTTTAGTGTTTATGCTAATTTCACTAACCGAAAATTGGAAACTGCCTGTAGGAAACGAAAATGTCATGAAGTTGGCGTAACGGTCGTAAGCCGATTAGATGGATTCTATAAAAAAAAATCCGCTGCTGAAATTCTGGGTTGTTAACAAATTGATTTGAATAGCATTAAGGTTGGTATTCCGCACTCGTCTACTCAAGAAAGAAATTATGTATTTTTAGATCATTTTTAGAGCTTGTAATTAAATTAATTCGAGATATCTTGAAAAAAAATTATTTGATGATGAGGGTAATGATGTAAGATGAGAATTACTAATAAATCTGAATAAACTTCAACAGGATGGGAGTCTTAGATTTGGTAGCGACCTGATGCCGCGTCACATCCATTTTAAAAGTGATGAAAGGTAAACTTTCCATGCTATTATTAAGCATGAGTGTGGCAAAAGGACTTATTCTCTGTGACGAAGTTTCGAAGTCAACGCAGTTTCACAATTTTAAAACTGTAATAAACATTTTTTTTTGTTGCATAAAACTCAACAAAGTGCTATTGTTATAGCTTTAAAACGTCCAATAGATGAACGTAACAAATCTGAAATATTTTCGTATGTGAATAGAGTGAAGGATTGTATAGGCACTGAACTTGGAATTTCATGTGAAATGTAGAAGAATTATAAAAATAAAAAATGTTGATCATCAAATAAAATTATCGATAACAACTGTCATATTAATTTCCAAGTACCGCCTGAGTCAAGATCATTGGGAAATATTTTTTGGAAATATAAGCACACGGTGGATACAATAATAACCCTGTTTTGCAGTTCCGAGCTGCGTATAAAAAAACTCTAAATCACTTGGAACTATGATCATCATTTACTGGTAACTATCCCACTGATCAATTTCACTATTTACAATATTCCCCTACTGATATAATTAACAGCATAACACTAACGTGATAACATGTAAGTTGTGACAACACCTGTTGCGGACGCCGAAGGATGTCTACGAATAATAACTCATTTACAGTATGTAACACCTTTTCAGTTAAGGTACTTAATTCAGTCAGCTTGTATTTCTTCAGTAATTAATCGTAAGTCCCACAAGCATAATTCAGCTTTCCAAGCAGAAGATGGGCGTCAAGAGCCACTCCAGCTTTCTTTCCTGTCTCATCTGTAGCAAAGGTTAAGTATCCACGAGCTTCAGACAGCTCTCGTTGTGCTCTTTCAATGTTCTCTTTGATCGGAGGCCATTCGTCTAAATATATTTCTAGTTTTCCCTCACAAAGACATCGCGGCACAGAGGAGCACCAGATAGCAACAAGAATTAAAAGATTAAGAGAAAAGATCATCAAAAAGAAAAGATCTTTAAAAAGAAAAGACAATCGTCAAAACCTTCTCAATATAATAATTACAGTGCCGCATTTCGTAAATAGTGAATCCAATATGTTTGTGGTTGTGTCCCTTCTTTCTAATTCCTTTATAGAACATATAAATGTAAAGCAGCTATCATAAATATACAGTCCACTTGCTCTAAGATATGATACAAGAAAAATAATCTGTACTAGTCACCGCAGCAAGGCAAGTATAGTGGCGTTTTAGAGCGGCAACAGAGTAGTGCGAGAGGAATGGACATTTCTTTAACGCGAGTAAGCAGAACAACTGTTATGGCAAGAGCGACAGACACAACTGTGCTTGCCCGCATATACACCGGTAGATATTTGATAGGTCTAAGTATTATTTAAAATCACGAAAAAGCAACTGCATAGTACAGGAATACTAAGGTATTTAGAGGTATTATTATTGTATTTAGAGGGGCGCCACTATGAGATCGCACCACCTAAAAGTTTTGCTAGGGCCGCCACTGTATGAACGCATTGTGACCTTTTTTGTTATGACTTACGACATATCAAGTCATTTTTTTTTTAAATATATTTATATACTGTTTTGTTTTTAGTTTGTGGTTTTAGCCAAAATAAAATTTTTTTTTTTTCTATCTATCTAAGATTTTCAAAAATTTAAAAGAAATTAGTTATTATATTTTCAACCGACTTTAAAAAAGGAGTAGGTTCTCAATTCGACTGTATATTTTTTATGAGTGTTACCACAGAACTTTTTTCTAGGTGAACCGATTTTGATGACTCTTTTTTTATTTGAAAGCTGTTGCTTCTCATGTGATCCCACATAAATTTTATCATGATCTGATGAGTATTTGATTTGATTGAATTATTCTTAATAATACGTATTTAATTGACTACGACTACATTGGTGGTGTTCTCATTTTATTCATATTGAAGTCCGTTTCACAAATTTTTAATTTTACCACATGATATTTATTTATATGTAAATGTTTGTACGTGGGAAGATAACTGTACATTACACCCACTGACGGACTCACAGAACACCGCGCGACCAAAGAAAGTTTCTTAAATATAACAATCGGGAATCGTCGAACTGCAACATATATAACTATGCGAGGTTTAACAATGTTGTAATATCAAAATATACTTCTTCAATATTATTCTACCACTGATGGAGTTTCCATAGTGCTTCGTTTGCTCCGATCTCTCTTAGGCCAGGGCACTTTATAATGAACGTATTTTATATGAAGTTTCACATCGCACGGGTTCGGAAACGACTTGTCGCACATTGAGCATTTATGTGGCCGGATTCCAAGGTGCGCCTGAAAAAAACAACATTGTATTTTATCGAAATACTAGTTTGTGATCATTATGGGCTGTAACTCCTTTTTTATAAGAAACTCGCTCCAAAATTACATCGTACATAAGTACAATGACGAATGATTAGAAACACATAAACAATTTCCTCCAGACCGAATTCCAGTCGGCTTAATTCTCAAACTAAAATTTGTCATTTACGCGGGTTATAGTGCACGAGTGTGTTCTCTATTCTCTCACTTCCATATAGTTCTATGGGACGGCTGTCCTATAGACTACCTCGTTGGTCTAGTGGTTTTAGTAGTGTGACTGCTGATCATGAGGTCCTGGGTTCGAATCACAGGTCGGGCCAAAAAACGAATTATTGAGTTTTTTCCATCAAGAAATTCGCAGTAGCTGCTCGAAGTCGGCAAGCTGGCGGTGTCTCACCCCCGTGCCTCGGAAAGCACTTAAAGCTTCTCTCTGGTCGTGTCGGTTTACCGTCCCATCGCATTATGAGACTGAGGGAGTCACTATAATCCTGTCCTATGCCGATGGCTAGTCTCCGTTGAGGCAGGCCGCCGTGGCCGAAATTCGGTCTGGAGGACATTATTATGGAACGACAATCACACACGACCGGAGAGAAATTCGGCGCAGGACCAGCGTGCTTTTTGATGTGAAAGCGCCAATAAGGTTGGCCGGTAGAAGCTAAAAGCAAATGGCGCTAGCATAGTTTGTTCCTTTGTCATAGTTATCATTTTTTTTATGTTGTGTTGATTGCAATGAAGCGTGTGAATTGTTTACTTTGCGACTGTGTGGCAGCTATAAGACAATTTAAATAACTTGAACACGTATTTATACATCATGTATTCTAACTGTCAAGTTAGGGACTGAAAGAGGAATTGAAAAAACGCGGTGCTTCCTTACGAGGAAAAAAAGCGGACCTCATTGAAATTTATCTAGTTTTGTTCTGTAATTCATCAAACACGCCTTAATCGAAGTTTATAGTCATTGTAGATCAAAGGGCGCTATGCAAAGTAACATTCTTAAACATAATGACTTTGTAAATGTAAAGATTTCGTGGTAATTTCAGGTTAGAGCTTTATGAAATGTAAAGTAAAAAAGTAAAGTTACAGCCCATATACGTCCCACTGCTGGGCACAGGCTTTCCCTCATTTCTGAGAGGGTTTTAGGGCAACGAAGTGTCCCCCGCGCTGCCCCAATGCGTGTTGGCGAACTTGGCGTTTCATTTAAGATAAGCGCAAAGGTCTTTCTGTACTTCCCGCTAAAATGATATTGAAAGATTCAACTGCATCCTCAGGCACCAATATAGCGAACCTTTTTGCAAGTCACTTTTCTTCCGTGTACTCCAATAATAGCGTTACCGATGTTTCTCATAGTCATGATATTACGAACATGAGTAATTCCATCGTTACACTTGAATTGAGCGAATCTCAAGTGTACAAAAAATACAACACCTCAATGAAAAAAAAGTACCTGGCCCTGACAACATACCACCCCTATTTGTGAAACGATGTGGATCCGTTCTTGCCTTCCCGTTGACATTAATATTTAATCGCTCTTTAAGCGAAGGAAAGTTTCCCGATGAATGGAAAAAAGCCAGAATTATCCCTATTTATAAGAAAGGTGACAAGATTGATGTTACCAACTACCGACCTATATCCATTTTATCGTGTTTTTCTAAATTATTTGAACGCCTTGTTTACCCCATAGTCTATAGCCATACTGAAAACATTATATCCGATTTCCAGCATGGTTTCAGGCGTGGTCGTTCGATAGAGTCTAATTTGTCTTCCTTCGTGTCCGCGGTAGCACAGGACGTGGACAGGGGACTGCAGGTAGACGCAATATACAGACTTTTCAAGTGCCTTCGACAAAGTCGGCCACCAAGTCCTGCTGTCTAAACTAAGAGTAATGGGCATAAGTGGTTCACTGTTGCAGTGGTTCGAATTCTTACCTAGAAATGAGACCTCAGCCGGGCTAGCATGAGCAGGGGATAAAAATTTTATCCACCGATTATATCCACTGACAAGGGATAAAATTGTCTTATCCCTATGTCAAAGCTTTATCCACCCTGCGAGCATGGGCCTATGGTGGATATAATATCGACAGTAGATAAACTTATCCCCGCGCATAGATAATATACCATAGTATAAAGCTATAAACTATACTAGCTATAAACTAGTTTTAAGATTAAGTAGATTTACATTAACTTATAATTTCGTTTAATTTTGTTTATTATATTGCTAAACTGTTCATAATTTTTTGTTAAACAATATGTCATTTATAATATTTGTTATTTTATTTTTTCTATTATTCTAATTATTTCTTTATTTTCTTATGTATAATATTTAAGTTAAATATACATTGCTTGTATCAAATCGCAGGTATTACTTAGCTTGTGATAGCATTTATTAAAAAATATGTGTTTAGAATTAAGCCAATTGTGAAACTGGACAATAAAGACCCTTTGGAGGTGGTGTAACCTCTTGAAGAAATTAAAAAAAATATATCCCCGCAATTACTGCCATTATAAGAAAATTACAAAATACATCAAAATTGATGTCTACTCTAAGTCACAAAGATTTAATTTTAATTGAAAATGATGAAGCATGAAGAATAAAAATGTAATGATTTCAAACAAAACAAGGAATAAATAATTTTATAATCATGAGTATAGTATATTTAGCAAGCTTTGCTAAAGAATTAACATATTTCTTAATTTAAACCTTTGGATTGTAACTTTACTAAGTTTGATAATTTTATTTTAAAACGTTATAATACTTACCTAAAATATAGTATAGACCGATTCTATTCATTAAATTTGACTTGACCATGGACTCGCCTTGTGTATTTTTGACACAACCTATGTAATTAAATCATGGCATTGAGCTATTGAGACTTTTTTGGACAAGGTGGTTGTAATAGATGCTTACTTCAATATGCACTGGTAGTCCATCCACAGAATTAATAGGCTTTAAAGCCTCATAGAGTTCTTTACACAAATACAAAACAATCTTTGAGCATCCGAAACCGGTGAAGAAATTCGTTGTCGGAGAATTCCAATAGATTAAGTATTCTGATCACGTATCGATCGCTCATGTAATTCTCTTTCTTGTTTTTCAATTTCTGACACGAAAATATAGTTGCAATAGGCTCGAGACATCTTTTTTTGTATTAAAATGGTTTGAAGATAAACAAACCCACGTCCGCGAAAGAGGATAAAATTGTCCCTTTCAAATGTCAAAAAGAGATAATTTTTTCTCTTTCCCTTGGCCTCATGCTACGGACGGGGATATATATGTCCACTCTTTACGTCAAACGGGGATATACTATAGAGATAAGATAATTTTATCTCTTTGTCAGTGGATATAATCGGGGGATATAATTTTTGTCTCTTGCCCATGCTCGCAGGGTGGATAAAACTAAGCAAGGGATAAAAATTATATCCTCTCTCCGGGGATATATTCTCTCCGGCTCATGCTAGCCCAGCAGCAAGTGGCTATAGATGGATTTGAATCTGAAATGTTTTTGGCTAAGTCTGGTGTCCCCCAGGGGTCCCACTTGGGTCCTCTACTCTTTTTGATATTTATTAATGACATAGCTACATATATTAAAAACAGTAGTGTATCTATGTTTGCTGACGATCTCAAATTGAGTAAAACAATCAAAAGTCCCGGGGATGCTAACCTTCTGCAATCTGACTTAAACAAACTCATGGATTGGTGTGCAATCAACGGAATGACTTTAAATCCTAACAAATGCTACCACATAAGCTACACCAGAAAAAGTCGCCCCATCACTACTACCTACTCATTGGGTGACGTGACCTTGGCGGAGGTGAGGGAGATCAGGGACCTTGGTGTCTTGTTGGATTGTAAGCTGAAACTGACCGCTCACACTGATAATATCGTCAAAAAGGCGACTCGTATGTTGGAATTCCTAAAAACAAACGCGAAAGGCTTCCGATGTGTCCAAACTAAGAAAGTTCTTTTCAATGCACTAGTACGTAGCCTCCTTGAATTTGCAAGTGTTGCATGGAACCCAGTTTATAGTGAGTCTTCTCAGCGAATCGAAACGATTCAAAGAGCTTTTACACGCTACCTTGCCTTTTCAACTCCAGGCATATCGCATAGACACCTCTATAGTCAGAGGCTAGCATTTTTCAAAATGACAACCTTACGTGACCGACGTCTCATTGCAGACTTAATGTTTCTACACAAGTTACTGCATAACAAAATCAAAAGTACGCACCTCCTCGATCACATTAAATTAGTTATCCCGTACAGATATCCTCGATATCAAATTCGCAAACTATTTAGCATACCTAGCCACAAAACAAATTTAGGCGCGCATTATCCCCTAGCCAGAATATGTAACACATACAATGAAATTATAACCAAGATACCGGACATCGACATTTTCAACGACTGCCCGTTGCTTCAAAAAAAATTGACCAATTTCTTTTCACCCTCTCAGCACACACTCATTCCTTAGTTAGTTTTTTCTTAATATAAGTTATTTTGTATTCAGTACCATTATAATATAATAAGCTACACATTACGGTAAATGTTGTGTATACCTGTAATTGGCAAACATAATTAACCATATACATTTGTTATTGTGTTGTTGTTAATGTTTCATGTGTTTTGCTATTAGTGTACCTTATAAATAAATAAATAAATAAATATTCACATGTCTTCGAAATATTTTTTCTCTTATTCCTCAGATATGCAGGTTTCCTCACGATGTCTTCCTTCACCGCCGAGCATGTGGTAAATCAGCACTTAAAATTGCAATTAACAATTTCATTGGTGACCGCGGGGATGGAACCCGGGTTACTCGCGTTCTGGTATATTTACAGCGAGCGATAACCATCTGAGCTACCACGGCTCAGATGGTTAACGCTCATCAGAGCTTTATGAACATAACTTTAATTTTGGTCGATCTGAATGCGTAGACGACGACGAACATACAATGGAGCTACCATTAAAAGAATCTTATCGAGATATAAACAGTCATACGATTCTGCCACCTTTGGACAAGATAATGAGTCCATATACATAAGGCATAATCTATGTTAGTAAGTAAAGATAAAAGTTAAATCTGTCAATAATAAAATTTCTTTCCATACTTTTATTTAACCAAGTAAGTACATAATTCTTTGTTTTCTATCACAGAGAAAAAATAGCAATGGCTACACAACTATATGAGACACGGCACTTACTGATGGCAAGATCTTCTATTGTTGGTCAAAATGCTTTTATTAAAGGTTACTGTAGAAAAACAATGAAGAATCTGCAGTATGAAGTTGATGTAAAATTAAATAAAGATGGAAATCCTGAAGCATCACATTGTGAATGCCCGGCTGGAAGTGGTATATATGCAGTATGCAAACTAGTTGTCCTTTTACTAGGCAATAGGCATTGAGAACATGGTTAATCAAAAAATTCTTTGCTTCCAGAAGTATGCACTCAAAAACTGCAAGTTCCAAGAAGTTCCATGTTCCAAGAAAATCTTATACAGCCTACTCTTGTGAAAGCTGAAAAAATGTATCGCAAGAAAAATGAACATAATTTAATTTTTGAGCCATACCCTTAATGGGTAACATTTGGACAAAGAAAATTATAATAATAGGATAAGAAATATAATATTAAATTTTCCGAATTCCAGGAAGCCAATTAAACAACTTTATGAACCAGCAAACCCATATGCATTAGTACGTGACCATCATTATACTGAAATAAGTCCAGAGCAGAAACTTTTAAATGATTTAAAATTGTCTCTATCACTCAAGAAGAAATTAATAATATACAAAATATTACCATCGGCCAAATGAGTGCCCTGAATGGAAGGCATACCGCCAAGTAAGGCTTACTGCAAGCAACTTTCATACCATTTGTCACCTCAAGACAAGTACAATGTGTAAATTTGCCAAAGAAATATTAAATAGAAAACCATTTATGATAAGAGCAACAAGGCTTGGTATAATTAATGAACCAACAACTTATCAAATATGCAGTTTAGAAAGACCATATCTTGCTGCTTCTCCTGATGGGTTACTGGGACACGAAACAATTATAGAAATCAAGTGTCCCTGTGCAAGCCGATACCAAGAAATAAATACCATTACAGTTCCCTATTTGGAAAAAAAATAATGACATTTTAACCTTAAAAAAAACAGCCCATATTATTTCGAAATTCAAACACAGTTGTACTGTTTAGACAGAACATACTGCAATCTTATTACATGCACCTACAGGGATTTGATAGTAATTTGCAAGAAAGGGACTATACCCCTTTCTTCAAGAATTTATGTAGGCATTTAACTCCTAGAACAAGACGTGATTTTTAACATTGTAAATTACATGGGCAGATGTGGTCAGGTACGAAATATTATAGAGTGTAGGGATGAATGAAAAGATACTATTCAAAACTTTACTTTATGATCAGCTTACCTGTATATTTGCTTATTATTTCATAATCATTTTCTACAAAGTGTTTACCACCATAACCTCGTACTTTTCGTAGGAATCAATTTTTTCACGACGAATGGCTTTTAACCAAAGCCTTCGCATTTTTTGTCCTTCGGTATTTGGTGCGTTCCGACTTCAGAGCATTTAGAGACAAACACATACAGCACGTCATTGTAACTGTTTGAAATAATTTGCTGAATTCGACCATAGAAAAATGCAATGTTTTGGCAACAATCTACGCTAGCACCACTGACAGTTGCCAACCTCATTTTCTGACTCCAGACTGCTACTGAGAATTTCTTTACAGAAAAACCCAACAGATTTTGACTCAACTCGGGTTTCTAACCAATAGACCAACGAGATAGGCAGGAACGCATAGAAAATCAACAAACAAACATTTTCTCGTCAGAAACCTTCGTGGACCCGTAAACAACAACTCATTAAAGTTTCATCGTATTCGGATGAACAGTATAGGAAGGCATACCGGGTAAAGAAAGAAACAGTTATTATTATTATTTAAAATATGACCACAATCATGGCAGCTCTACATTATCGCCGTGAATTCACGGCACAAGTCATGCCCTCCACATTCACGGGATGCTCACAATCGCTCGTGAAACCCGCCGCGAAACGGACATAGAAGCTGCTGCTGCAATAACTTTATTTGCTGTGGCAACATATCACTATTCAGACATCCAAAACAAGAAATTTATTAGAAAGCGTTGGAAAATAAAAAGATGGTGTATGACTAAAATACGTCCGTACACCTTTGTAGTCCAAAACGAATTGGCACGGTGCCGTGAATGTGTGTACGCGTGAACGCCGCGCGACGGTGCGTGAACCCTCTGTCGCGGGACAAAATACCGACTCTGATCGGGGAACAGGTGTGAACGCGCGTGAATCCCACGAAAACCCATCCACATTCACGTTCACGCTTGTTCACGGAGCTTCAAGGCAATAATAATCTTTATCAGAACATAAACAGGAGACTGTTAAAACAGTCCATAGATAGGTGTCTCCCATAGTATGGAGGATTTACCATAAGTGCCATTCTTAATTTGATTAGCTATATTATATATACTTTTGACGCTAGTTCCCGTTGTTTACTTGGATATTTTATAAATGACATTTCAAGAGATGGTTCAACGTAATCTTGCCTCTTACGACCTTTGCAACTAATGAAGTGATGGAATATCTCATGGAATTTCCTGTAGTCGACTCTTACTTACTTTTATTAGCTGTTCGAAATAAAAATAAAACATAGTAATGATATGAAGACTTGATTAAATAAATATCTTTGGCCTTACTTATTTTACGTGGTAGAGCCATACTGCAGCTATAGTAGTAGTGTAATTGTAGCACGAATGGATCGGCTCGACCGGGGAAGAACCACGCTCTCACAGAATACCAGCGTAAAATAGCAGTTTAACGCTGCTGTATTTCGTATGGTGAGTGTAGGGAGCCGGAGAACCTTTTTACTGGAAACGAGGCATTCCATCTTAGTCCTCACGAGTGACAACGCATTTGCATTTTGATTCTTAATCGAGGATAAATGTAAATGTCTATGGGTCACAGCAACCACTTACTATCAGGTGGACTGTGTGCTCGTTTGTCACGCCCCTTCTCCTATAAATAAAACTTATAATCGATAATTATAGCAGTAAGTATTAATTTTAGTTAAAGTAAGTATTAATTTCCTTCATACCAGTCTCTGTTGTCATTTAGTGGAAAAAGAGGAAACAACTTTAAGCTATTCTTGAATTGAGATGATTTTCATGAGTAAGGCCGGTGATTTCTACTTTAAATATTAAAAATCTAAATTAACTGAATTCGGAAAACTAATTAAGTTTGAATACTCTGTGATAGCTAGCAAAGACTAATTATGTATTTATTACGAAAATTGCTTGAATCTTATTATTTTTGTAAATAATCTAAATTCAAAGTGTAAATTCCATTACCTTGACGTGTTTATTGAGTGCGCTCTTAAAGCCGAACAACTTTCCGCACAAGTCGCAACGGTGCTTGTTTCCCCTTCTATGTGTAGCGCGATGTGTGCTCAGAGCGCCGGGGAAGGCGAAGGTCTTGTCGCACTCCGTACAAGCATATGGACGCTCACCAGTGTGCTTACGTTGGTGGTATAGTAGAAAACATTGTTTCTGTAATATTATTATTTTTATTTATATAACAGTACCTGGTTGACCGAGCTTTGCTCGGTATTTTTTTTAAATCGTGTATTTTGGAAATTACATTTAGATACAAATTACATACTGATGAAATATGAATAATATTTTTTGATCTTACCGACATAATAGAAAAAATAATAAAAAATCATGAGTGCAATTAGTTTAATTTAAATTTTCGTGTTTTTAATAAAATATTAAAAAATGGCTCGATAATAGATTTTCTCAAAAAACTAACACTTGAAAAAAAAATGAAAAAACGTCGGACTGAAGACAGGACTCGAGCCAGGGTACTACAAATTCGTAACCGCCCGATATCCCATTAGCTATTATAATCATCCACACGTTGTCAAAATTTACCTTCTTATTCTAACGATATTGTAGCAGTTTTTCAGTGCCTGAAAACACGGATAAAACGACATTTTCTAAAAATGAATCCTAGCTAGATCGATTTATTGCCCCCGAAACCCCCTGTACACTAATTTTTATGAAAATCGTTTGAGCCGTTTCCGAGATTCCGATTATATATATACAAGAATTGCTTGTTTAAAGGTATATGATAGTATATATAGTACCTTATATACCATAATAGTCAAAATACGTTTCAGAACATCATTCCAACAGTAGAAGAATTGTCCAGGCTGATAAAGACAAAATTATGACAAGATAAAAAAATCAATCATAGTTTTTTTAACAATGTTTTAATACCTTGAACATTTTGCCGCAAACTTCACACACGCATTGCAACTTCTCCTTAGCGTCAAGTCTTTTCGCCAATTCAGACAGAGGGTGTTCTGTGCTCATGTGGGACTTGTACTCTTTACGGTTTGTAAGCCACTTGTTACACTGAAAATAAAAAAATAAAAAATTATTTTAGAACGTCGTAGTCATGCTAAATTCGTATTATAGATGCACAAAGCTGTCACTAGGCCCTAGTTACCTTAATAAGCGCTTATTACACAGTACGCGAGCAACCCGGGTTTGATCCTGCCGGCACCAAATTGTTATTACAATTTAGTGCCGGCAGGATCAAACCCTTCAAGCTCCATAAAATCCCATGCAGTGACATGCGCCCGGCAAATCCCGAGCGGTGGCATGCGACCGCACCCACCCACAGCACTTAAAAATCATTAAAATTTATATTTATAGACTATTATCCTGTGATCTAAACAAGTCAGTTTTTCTTCATTACAAAAAGATGTTATTGTATTTAGACAACAAGAAAAAACATAAGCGAATATCGGCAGCGTGAAAATCACAATTATTTCAATATATATTACTCGCGTAAAAAGATAAATATATTATATTTTTAATGTTACATTATGTATGTTACATAAAAAAGTACAATATATTGAATTATATTTTTTTCCTTATATATATATATATATATATATATATATATATATATATATATATATATATATATATATATATATATATATTCAAATTTATCTTACTTTACAAGCCTCGGAAAGCACGTAGAGGCGTTGGTACTGCAATTGATATCTCTCCGGTCGTGTCAGGTTACTGTCCCAAAGAGAGTGAGGAAATGAAATGCATCGGTCTGGAGGATTTATTAATTCTTCATAACGTAATATAACATAACCACTCACGCCTGTCATCCAGAGGGGTAGGCAGAGATTACAGACTTACATTTGGCATGATCCTGACACCTCTCTCGCCTCCTCCACATCCATATACCTACGCATACATGTTCGCCGGTTAAGGGTACTCCTAATTTGGTCCATTTTCAATATATCACCAATTTAGTCAATAAACTTTCGCCTAGGACGTCCCTTTCCGACTCTGCCGTTCACTTCTGCAAAGTTTGCTTTGTCACTCTTTCCTCATTCATTCTTTCCACATGAACAAACCACCGAAGCATTCCTTTCTTAATCCTGGTCACATCATCTTCATTCGTCATTTTATTATTTTTTCTTACCATTTCACAAGCGGCCGGTACTTTGATCACATCCCCGCGATTGATCTGTTTCCTCGAGTGTATTTTCGAATGACTCTTCAGATCTTCTTCATTTGCGAACGTCTCGCCGCAGTATTCGCAGCCATTGCTGAAACGTATTGATCTATTATTTAGTGACAATAATTTGATTTTAACGAGGTAGAGCCATGCTACTACTGTGTTGAAGGAATTTAGTTTAAATACCGACATAAAAACTATAATTCTACTTCACTTTCAGTAAATTTCAACTGCAACTGCAATCCTTCGGCATTAGTTACGTGCCAAAATCATTTCACTGGCTAACTACAATATAAAGGTCTTTGTTTATGTTATTTGTATGGTATCGACTATGTTAACATTAATAAATATGTAGGAAGGTAGTTAAATAGAAATAATTTACAATCACAAAATAACGGACCACAGTCAATCAAATATAAATTGTACTAAGAAACTTTAATGGCTGCTAATAATTAATTCGTTTCCACAAATTAATTTTCCGAATAGTCGAGGACGAGCTAGTAACGGGATAGAACAAGTGCACCGTGCCACGCCAGAGCCAAGACTGCCTTAACGGATTTCGATTCTTTTTGCGCACCGCTAGAAGCCGCTCCGTCCGTTTTATACAAGCGAGACAAGTAGCTACCCGAGCGTCACTGCAGGTGCAATGCGCAGGTGTGCAGTGCACGTGTTGTTTACAATAATTCCGACCAGCCACAGAGGCGCTGTTGCACGTACAATGGCGCAGGTACCGACACATACTATGTCAACAACGTCTTTCATTGATTCCTTCATTCACTTTCGTTCAAAAAACTTTAATTAATGCAGTGAGCCGAAAAATGTTTGCAGCATATGCTTCACTCCGGAGGCTGAACTACTTTTTCCCCATTCGAAAATCCGAAAATATTTATTTCACAACACAGTGGTTTGTAACTGTAAACAGAGGTTGGGACCATCCTATTAAGTAATAATAATACTTGTGCCAGGTGGCCCTGCTCTTCCTTACTTTACTAAATATCTTTAAATGTGTTTGTGAAGACAATTTGGAAAAACACTTATAAAAATAATTAATGTTAACATTAGTTTAGAGTGAAATCAAGGCAAAACAACAATCAATATTTTCGATTTACATATTACCTGAAATAGATTAATTCTGAATTTTAATAAAAAAAGGCATGATAGAGTGTTGGCGCGCGAGCGCGCGCGCGCATGTGTGTGTGTGTGTGTGCTCCACCAAAATTACGCTTACACAATCTTTACTACTCCCTAGCCTCGACTATGCTGACATTTGTTACCTTGCTATCACCGAGGAGCAACTTTACAAACTTGAGCGACTCCAAAATCTCTGTATACGGTTCATATTTAGGATTCGTAAATATGACCATGTCTCGGAATACCGTACTAAACTCAAGTGGCTCCCAATCCGTCTTCGTCGGAATACTTATATACATTCTGCGCTCTACTGCGTCTTATTTAATGTATCAAGTCCTCCCTATCTAAAAGAACATTTTAAATTTCTTAGCTAAGAAATTTAAAATGTTCTTTTAGATAGGGAGGACATTTTAAATTTCTTAGTCAAGATTTTTCCTTACAGTCTAAAGAAAATCTTTCGCTCCAATGTCCTATACAATCCTCGACATTTTATGATAAATCTTTTATTGTTCTTGGAGTAAGACTCTGGAACTCCTTACCCCAGTCAATTAAAAGTGCTCAATCATTAAATGTGTTCAAGAAACAGATTAAGGATCACTATTTGTCTCTTTAACTACTCCCTCTTCCTCCTCTTAGTTATGGTCATTAATCTAACTAAAGTATGTTGTCATTTTAGTACATATAAGTTTGTATTTTTTTTCTAATTTAGTGCACCCTACCCGTTAATCTTATTTTTATTTTTATTAATTTCCTCTTCTGGGTTGTCTGGAAAGAGATTGCTATGTAGCAATAAGACCGCCTTTTGTTTTTTCATTATTATTATTATTTATACATAAACACACTATCAGCTAAAAAAGCTGATGCGTGTGCGGCTTAATGTTTGGAGATCTTATCCAATCTGTTCTTAAAGGCATTCAATGTAGGAGCATCAATCACATTTTGTGGTAGCTTATTCCACTTGGTGACAACACGATTTGTTATAAAATTCTTCATAGGATTCCGCTTGGCAGTCCTATGGCAAAGTTTAAGTTGATGTCCTCTCAGACGTTTGTTGCTATTTAGTAAGTAAAATTTGGCAGAGTAGAAACATTGTAATATTCTATCAGTATTTTGTATGTCTCAATCAGACTACCTCTCTGCCTACGGCTCTCTAATGTTGTGTGGTTAAGCTTTCTCATTCGCTGCTCATATATCATGTTCCGCAGTTGTTTTACCATTTTTGTGGCCCTCCTTTGAACATTTTCCAGTATTATTATATCTTTACGAAAATACGGGTCCCATATCACATATGCAAACTCCAAAAGAGGTCTTAAGTATGTTCGGTAGAACTTGTTAAATATTTTAGGAGTGAGACACATAAAGCTTCTTCGAATCATATACATCGTGGAGTTTGCCTTTTTTACTGTGTTAAGGATATGAGTTTCCCATTTGAGGTCACTGGTTATTGTAATGCCAAGGTCTTTTTGTGATTCATCAGAAGACAATGGGGATCACCTAGATAATATGTATTTATTTCCCTTTCCCTATATGTTCAGTGTTAGGAGCCAATCACTAGTCCAATCGCAGATGGCATTTAGATCCTGTTGTATAACTTGATGTTGTATAATAGGGTTCCCAAAAAATTTTGTGTCATCGGCAAATATTGAGAACGGTAGCTGTAACGTGCTCTTCAAACCCGATAAATATAGGATAAATAATAATGGTCCAAGAACAGATCCCTGCGGAACTCCGCTGAGTACTTCTCTGGGTTTAGACATTGTACTTCCAACTCTTACGCAGAATGTTCTGTCTGACAGAAAATCACTGATAAAGCCAGGCCAACAATTTCCCGTGTATACCAAAGTGTTTTAATTTGCATATAAGTCGCCGTAATGGTACACGGTCAAAAGCTTTTTCATTGTCAAGATATATCACATCTGTAGGTAATCCATTGTCATGGTTTACAGGTTTAGACCCATTCGTTAACACGTTGTAACATATTTGTAATGATTGATCGCCTTGGTACAAACCCGTGCTGTTCATCTAAAATCAGTTGTTCTTGTAATAGGAATTCTCTTAATCTTTCAGTTATGATCTTTTCCATGGCTTTACAGAGGATACTTGTCAAACTTATTGGTCTGTAATTACTAGGTCTCATCTTATCGCCGTTTTTATAAATAGGTACGACTGTAGCTTTCTTCCAATCAGTGGGTAAGCGTCCATCCTCCATGGATTTGTTCATAATGTTTGATATATGTTCGGCAAGCAATGATGAGCATCTCTTTAGTAATATAGATGGTATTCCATCAGGACCAGTAGCAGTAGCATCATCAAAGGTTAACAGGTCTTTAGTACGATTTTGGCTGTAAATTTTACGTTATCAATTTAGTTTATTACCGTTGGCATATTCATGGAGGGAATTGGTCCATCTGGTTCTCTTACATAGCTATTAACGAACTAATCGGCAAACAGCTCCGCGATTTTTGTGGTTCATCTACAAGTTCCTGTGACTCGGTTTTAAGCATGTTAGGAATGGTGACTTTAGAATTAAGTTGTCTTCTAATGTATCCGTAGAAAGCTTTCGGTCTATAACATTTGTTTCAAATTGAGCTCTTCTATATTTTGACAGTTTAATAATTTTATGATTAATATTTCTAAATTTTCGGTACAAATCTTCTGTTTTATTAATATATACAATATGTAACAAAAACCCTGTGGTTCCCGTTAAGTGTGTTATCAAAATCAGTAGCCAAGCGTATAGAAACATTTTTTTTTTTTCAAAAAAACGAATTTAATTTTTTTATTTTAATGAAAAAAAAAATTATTTTGCAAATAGCATGTGGTTTTATTTCTACTAACTCACACGAGTATCGGTAATGCGGGGTCTTTGACAATCCTCTTACTCCTCGGCCAATGCAAAGATAATAAAACCACATAAAATTTGCAAATTAATTTTTTTTCATTAAAATTTATTGTTTTTATATGCGTTTTTTCGAAAAAAAATTATTTCCACATGCTTGGATACTGATTCTGATAATGCAGTTAACGGGAACCACAGGGTTTTTGTTACATGTTGTATATATATATATATATATATATATATATATATATATATATATATATATATATATATATATATATATATATATATATTCCATAACTTTTTTCCGTTTTGTTAAATCCAAAATTTCCTTATTTATCCATGGTTTCTTATTTGATTCATTTATTTTATGTGATTTTTTACACAATTTTCAAGTGATGTATGTATTTGATTATAGCCACATTTCATCTACTTGGTTTTCAATTATGTTAAAGTTTTCTGCTAAATCTTTGTTAATTTTGCTATAGTCAGCTTTGTAAAAATCAAACATCTGTTTTATCGCCACTTTATTATCGTTATTAAATATCTGCATAGAAGCCAGTATGACCAAATGATCACTCTTTCCAATGGGCGGAAGATACTTAATATCAGTTATTAAAGTTTCATCATTACACAGTATAAGGTCTAGTAGGGATTCTGCATTATTATGTTTCCTTGTGATTTGTGTTACAAGCTGATTGAGATTACTGTTTGAATACATTGCTACAAAGCTTTCGCATAGCTTGTCATGTCCGGTTAAATTATCGAGGGGCCATTTTATATTTGGTAAGTTGAAATCACCTGCAATAATCACTGTCTGCTTTGAGGCTACCTTTTCTATGGTGTTAAATAATATTTCATCATCACTTGTTAAAACATTTGAGGAAGGACGATACACACAAGCTAAAAGTAATTCTAAATATCCATAGCGTATATCTAACCATAATGCCTCAACTAAAGAATTATAATATATTTTATTCATTTTTGATATAACAGGTACAACATACATTGCTACTACTCCCCCTTTTCTTTCTCTTCTGCCCAACCGGAAGAGCGTATATCCGTTTATATTTATAAGGCTGTCATCAATTCCAGAATGTAAATGAGTTTCTGATATCAAAATAAATGCAGGTTTATGTGTATTAACTTCAAAAAGATATAAATCAAATTTTTCCCTAATGGAAGCCAAATTCGTGTATAGTATGCGGAGTTTTGTTGTCATTATTTGTTATATTTATATTTCGTTGATATACAATAGAGTATTGTATCATATTATGCAGTTAACACTTTATTTTAACAAATTACCTCACTTTGTGTTTAGAAGACAAAACCAAATGCCTCTTCCAGGCAGTCTCCGTCGAGAACTGCACGTTGCAATAGTCACATCTTGGACCCTTAGCTTCATTTTCTTGCTGTAAGAGAAATAAAATATTTGCTGTTTTAATTTGTATCTTTATGTCATGTAACAATGGTAGCAAAGTCCATTGTCATTAAAGGTTAACCATAAGATAGATAAGATACTATAGTATGTGCCAAATCGATTGAGAAGAATGGACAATAACCTTTCGGTTGTTTAATCAAGGGTTACAAACCTTCAATATATGGGCACATTTTATATGTAGTACTTTCTTTATTTATAATGATTTTTTTATAATGATCGATATAATATATATTTATTAACTATTATTAAAAAGTTATGTAAAAGATCGCTGTAGAAAGAAAATCATCTATTGTTATAAAGTACTTTATTGATTTAACAACAAAAAGCATTAATTTATAAACATATAAAAATTCGAGTGATAATGACACCGAATAAGTACGTACTTATTCAAAAGATAAAACTTTATGTTCAATATTATATAAGAACTTTATTTTTATTCGGCGATTCGGAACTTTATTATTGAAATGGCGGACCGGCCCAAAAAAGGTGACGCATCTCTGACTGCCATTGTCACGTTTCTTTTAGAACGAACTGACGTAACGCACGTTTTGTTTATCTTATATATATATATCTAGGAACCACAGACAATATTATTTAAGAAACAAAAAAACATATGTGCTGACCTAGAAGTGTGAATAATATCAATATCTAAATTAGGGGTGTTCGATGATCATCGATGTTAAAAATTAAAACATCGATGTTGCCACATGTCAAACATCGATGTCAATGAACCAATAATCGATTAATAAGAACTTGTGAACAAAGCGAACCCGCGAAATCAATATCAACTAAATATTTCATCTCATAGGGCTCATAGGGTTAAAATTTTGAATAATTAAGGATTCCTAAATGCATCGATCACCTAAACAATATCATTATGTTGTGTCAAGCTCCCTGTCAAGTATGAACTGTAATGTCACAGTCGTAACTCCTTTCGCTTTGTTATTATGGTGTCGTTGTCGGTTGCCGCTTAATAACTATTCTACATAAATTGACATTCAAATTAATTGTTTTTCCTTCCTATCTATACCCACATAATTTTGAAACAATATGTATCTACACAATTTAATTATATTTAGCAGTTTTTTGAGCTTGAGATAACAAGTTTATTGTTTGCTTGAAGTTTATGAAAATAAATCACTGGGTGATCGTGAGCGTAGACAATTTCACTGCATAGTGCATTCTACAGTGCATATTTAATTACTTTGTACGTAGTTTAAAAGTATAAGTCAGGTAAATGAGGAGCCTGCTACTTTGGACTCCCGCACAACACCTCAGGGAGGAGGGAGCGGCTGAAAAACAGCTGTGTATGAGATCTGTAACTCGTTACAGACAAAGCTGAGCCGTCTCCTTTTGTCTCAAATAATTATAATGTTATTTTGTTTTAACGTGAATGTAACTGTGTGTTTTAGAGGCAATAAATTTATTATTATTATTATTTTATAAATGGCTGTGGATACTTACTGCTTGGGCTGCTTGATTAAAAATTGTGTTAACAAAGGTGACGGAAAAGTCTATTATTTTGTTTTTGTGAAGTTTGTTAATTTTCCCTCTATAATCATTTTTTTATTTCGCGATATGATTAGTTAATATAAAAGCTACATCTAAATTGTAAATGTGGATAGTAAATTTTTAATACCAGATTTATAATGGTATAGGAACATTTAAATATCAAAATAATAATATTCATAATTATCGGCGAAAATATAACAAATTAACTAAATATTTGTTAAGTTTTCCCAATTTTTAAATTACTGTTTCACACTAACTGTTTTATTAACTTCATTAATAATAAACCATAAACAACACAACTAATTTTTTGTTCATCTAATTTTATCCTACTAAATAGGTACATATGCTATAACATCGATAACGGCCAACATCGATGTTTTGAGTAGGATAAACATCAAACAACGATGGTAAGCTATCGATATCAACATCGAACATCGATGGTAAGCTATCGATGTCATCATCGATGTTTCTGTAACATCGATCATCCCTAATCTAAATATTGTTATCACATAAATTGAGATTTTGTAAATTACGCCTTTTGACACTCGGCTCATACTATATGCCTCTGATAGATGGCAGTATTATCCTCGTCTATGGCATTCCTTGGGGGAGGCATATGTTCAGCAATGAACTTGTAAAAGGCTGTAATTATGATGATGATGATTTTTTATATAGAATAGAGTGACAAACGAGCACACATTCCACCTGATGGTAAATGGTTGCTGTGGCCCATACATCTATCCTAGATTACGAATGCGTTGTCAGCCGTGAGGACTAGGATAGAATGCCTCATTTTCAGTAAAAAGGGTCTCCGGTTCTCTACACTCACCATACGAAACACAGCAGCATTAAGCTACTATTTTACGCTGGTATTCTGTGAGAGTGTGGTCCTTCCCCAGTCGAGCCGACCCATTCTTGCTACAACTATACTACCTATATAACTGCAGCATGGCTCTACCACGTAAAAATGATGATGATGACTATCATGTCATATATGCCAGAGGTAAAGTATTGCAAGCAGAGCGTAGTCTTCAGGGGTGACACCGCATCTGTATTTTGATTTGTAACTGAGGATAAAAGGAGTCAATGAACTACAGCATAAATACTATCAGGTGGACTCTGTATGTGTTTATCAACCTCGCTTGTACCCTGTTTAACTAATGAACTAGGCTTTAGCAACCAACTGTTTCGTACAAATGTTTTATATACTTTATATCAGTGTACCTTTATTTAATAAAATAAAAAAAGGTTGTACGAGAAATTGAAGATACTCAACTAACCTGCCTGTGCACCAGTCTCTTGTGGAAAAATAAACCTTTTTGCGTTACAAACGTACTGCCACACAGTTCACACACACATTCTGTTAAGTGCTTTATTCGCTTGTGCATTAAGAGACTATTTGGCATGCTGAAAATTTATACAGAATTTTTATACTATAGTACAGAGAACTGACAAATGACTATTAATTAATTTGATTAATTGATACCTCGATTAATTTAAAAAAAATATTAAATGAAAAAACGACACTTGATGATCTAAAGTAAAAAAGTAAAAGCAAAGTTAAAAGTTAAAACCTATATAGGTCATACAGCTGGGACAGAGAGGGTTTTAGGGCAAGGAATTGTCCAATTGAATGCCCCAATATATGTTGCCGGACTTTACATGTATTTTTTAATCTCTCCGACATGCAGGCAGAGCCAAGGTTACTTTGTAATTATGAAATATACATCAAGCGAGCTCTTATAGTCTGATGTGCTAGTATTTCTCAAAATATTTCATACTTTTTATAAAGTTCTAGACTAAATATTTTTATACTTTAACAATGAACACTTGTGCACATTGTGTTAATAATGCAATATTACAATTTTTAACACGCTAATAAAAAAAGGCTACTTAAACAATTTATAGTTCTAATTATTAATAAAATTATTAGGAGTGAATGATATCTCACCTAAAAATTTCACCACATTCATTACAAGGATACTTTTTTCCTTTATGAAGACTAATGTGAGTTTTGGCTTGATGTCTGTAATATGAGAAAGTGCTGTACACAATCTTATGTTTATATTTTTTAATCATCAATCACAAAGAACTAAAGAATTAATTTTTTGTAGTACATTCCAATTATTCTATTCCAACAGCCTTTTAGAGTCCACTGTTGAAAGTAGGCCTCTTCAGGAATGTGCATGCTGGCATTCATTACTGAGTGAGGACAGATTAATACAATATATACTTTATAATATACTAGCTGTGCCCTGCATTTCCACCCACATATATTATATCACGCGTCCAAGCCGCGCGATATAGCTTGAACCCCCGCTCATTCTCTTTTTATTCTTCTCATCGGGCGGCTCGAGTTTATGCCTCGTTCGCGCGCCGAGTCATGTTAAATTATTTTCATTTTTCATATTTCTTATTTTTCTTTAGACAGAGTATAGATCTATATTTTTATAAAAAATTGTATTTACCTATCACTAATTATTATCTAATATCTTTAATGAGTTCATTTATTTGTTTATGTATTTAAAAATCTTTATTGCAATTATAGTTTATAATGCCTTTAGGCATACCCTACTACTCAACCACGAGCTAAGAAGCAGAAACTTAAGCAGGTGTCATAAAAACATGAAAATATGTATACATCAATATAAATATAACAACACACACCATACTAAATATACATACAATTACAAATATATAGTGATACAAATAACCTGTATCAAACATAATTTACTCTATGCATGATATATATTATGTAGACGTTATTAAATAATACATAATACACACATTTTAAGCATACTTAAATACAAATGTAATATATTTTAAATAGAAAGCATATTAACCCTTACATAAGTAGATATATTTAAGAAATTTAGCAACTGCAAGGAAAACATATGTGGTAGAGCCATGCTGCAGCATATTGTAGTTACAACACGAATGGGTCAGCTCGACCGGGGTGGGACGACGCTCTCTCAGAATACCAACGTATAATAGCAGCTTAATGCTGATATTTTTTGTATGGTGAGTGTAGAGAACTGGAGACCCTTTTTACTGGAAACGAGGCGTTCCATCTCAGTCCTCAGGGCTGGCAACACATCTGCATTTTGATTCTTAATTGAAGATAAATGAAGATGTCTATGGGCCACAGCATCCACTTACCATCAGGTGGACTGTGTGCTCGTTTGTCACCCTTATTCTATTTTAAAAAAAGGTAGTAATAAGACACCATTCTCATAAAGGTAGCAACAGATGTCGATTTCCTAATATGTTGAGGTAATTTATTGCAAAGCTCAAAGCCCAAGTGTGTAATGTGTTGTTGAGAATGTTTTGGTGGCTAGTGTATCTTAGGGGCTTGTGTAGGGAGGAAAATAAAGTAATTGTTCATATATGTTGTAGTTGATTTATTTTCTACATCAGAGACGCGTGTTCACATGATACACTTAGAAAGAACTGCCTACTGCACTGTAGCTAACCGACTTATAGACTGCCATCCCGCTGGCGGCGGTCGTTATCGTTATCGTCGAATTACATATACATTGACACGGGCGATGTATGTGTGTGCTGTGTCAGCAGCAACCACAGTGTTAATAGAACTCTTAATAAAAATTAATTTCGTTTGCACCATCGTAAATAAACAAATAATGATTAATGATTAATTTTCTTATATATATAAATAAATGTTATTATATATATTTCAAATAATAAACTTCCTCGGGAAGTATCCATGGACAACCTCATTTTGAAACTATATGAAAATAAAACACCCCAAGGCAATTTTGCTTAGAACTGTGAGAGGAGGATGTAATTGTACCAATAAATACTTACGTGCAGAAACAAGTGTATGGGCAAATCTTGCAATAAAACTTGCGCTTATGACAAGAGAAATGATGCTTGTAGAGGGTTCTTTGTTTTGGAAAGCGTAGGTGGCAATAGTCACATTTATATTCACCAAACTCCTGCAAAATATTTTAAGAATAGAGTCAAATACTCTAATAACTCATTTATTTTCAATTTTTTGTTTAGCATCATGCCTATTAATTTATACATTATTAAGATTCTCAGTTTGGAAAGTGAAAGAAAAATCATAATTATACACTACATTTGTACATATTTTTTTAATTGAACAAAGGTGACAAACAAGTACACAGTTCACCTGATGGTAAGTGAATACTGTAGCCCATATATATCTGTATTTATCCTCAATTAAAAATTAAAATGCAGATGAGTTGTCACCCCTGAGCACTAAGATGAAATTCCTCATTTCCAGTAAAAATTGTCTCTGGTACTAAACACTCAACATATGAAACACACCAGCATTAAGCTGATATTTTATGCTAGTATTTATGTGAGAGTGTGGTCCTTCCTCGATCGAACAGACCCATTAATGGTACAACCATATAATATAGCTGCAGTGTGGCTCTACCACATATATCATGAAACCTGCCAATGGTCATTGAAGTGGCATTATCAAATTCAAACTAACTCAAAAATGTAAAATTGCAAGTGGCTTTTTGATATAAAGGTTAAGTTCTCTCTCTGTGATTTGTACATATCGTCCTCCATGTTATAAAAATCCTATGAATTATATCAACTCTCTGGATGATATTTTAAATAATTGTCGTAATAAACGTGATATTGTTTCAACCGGAGACATTAATCTTGATGTTATGCCAGACAATCTTAATAACTACTCAACTGCATATTTAAATCTTATGGCTACGTTCGGACTTAAGCAAGGTGTAAACAGTCCAACTCGACAAAAAACCTGTTTGGATCATTTCATGGTTAAATCTTATGCTAAATGTCAAACATATGTTTTTGACGTATTTACAGATCATTCTCCTATTTTTTTACATATGAATTTTACTAAAGTATGTAGAAAAACACAAATGCTTAATAAAGTAAAAGTTGATCTTGCTGGCGTACAAAAAATGATGACGGCTGAGTCTTGGGATGACTTATACTCAACTAAAGATGTAAATCTTGCAGCACAGATTCTGACATCAAAATTAGAAAAAGCTATTAAGGACAACACAATTACTAGTAAAATATCTAAACGTAAAATACCACTCAAGCCTTGGATTACTGTGGGAATTGTTAATTCAATTCGAAAGAGAGATAAAATGCATAAAAAATTAAAAAAAAGATTTAAATAATGAGCAATTGTGACACACATACCGAAACTATCGTAACACATTAAATAGATTAATAAAACAATTAAAAAGAAATTATTATAAAATGTTATTAGAAAAAAATAAAGGAAATATGAAAGAAACTTGGAATACAATAAAGGAATTATGTAATATGGAAAAAAGGAAATAATCTTCCTCAGATTTACTCAAAAAAAGGTTTAAATACTACTCACTCTCTTGACAAGGTTAACAGGTTTTTCGCAACTGTTGGTCATAGTCTTTCAAATGATATCTTATCCAAACTTAACACTACTGACAGTTCTCTTTCTCTATTGGCAAAATGTAAAGATGCACCAAATGGGTCAATGTCCGTCTACCTAACTGATTCAGTGGAAGTTTCAAGCGTCATCTGCAGTATTAAATCTAGTAACTCATCAGGATATGATTGTATTACGTCCAAAATTTTAAAAGAAAACATAAAATATATTTCGGAACCTCTTGCATATTTAATTAATTTGACATTTGAATATGGTGTTTTCCCCAAAATCTATAAAAATGCAATTGTCTGTCCCATATATAAATCTGGGGATAAATCTTCACCGACTAACTATCGCCCAATTTCACTTTTAAGCACAATGTCCAAGGTTCTCGAAAAAATATTTAACAAGCGATTAATGAACTATTTAGAAAAGAATGAGCTTTTAGATAAAAACCAATTTGGTTTTCGTGCCAACAGGTCCACAGATGACTTACTACAAATATTACACGTTATCTTGAAAAAATTAAAATTAAAAAAAAAATTTGTATAAAAAGTTAAAATGAAAAAGTGATGGGAGTATTCCTGGACCTTCAGAAGGCATTCGATACCGTATCTGTTCCAATATTATTAACACGTTTGGAAAATATGGGAATCAGGGGAAATGCACTTATGTGGTTCCAGGACTACCTTTCGGATAGAAAGCAACGTGTTAAAGTTAATGGCTTATTAAGTAATGAATTCAGCTCCTCTTACGGTGTGCCACAAGGCAGTACACTCGGGCCAAGTCTTTTTTTAATTTACATAAACGATCTGTGTAAAACTAATCTCAAGGGTGCTGATATTCAAATGTTTGCCGATGATACAGTCATACTGTTTCATGGCGAGTCTTGGGAACATGTACATCGTCTTGCTGAAAACGGTCTTCGTACTATTACATCATGGTTAGAAAATAGCTTGCTAACACTGAACACAAGTAAAACAAAATATATATGTTTCAGTAAAACTAATATGAACTCACTCAAATCTTTTAGTTTACAAATCCATTCTTACCCTTGCAATCGACAAGTCAATACCAATAATAAATCATGTGCTTGCTCATTAATTGAAAGAGTAAAAGTTATAAAATATCTAGGAATAACTATTGATGACAAGCTCAACTGGAAACAGCACATAACATCTGTTGCTAATAGACTCAGGAAATTAGTGTATGTGTTTAGAGAATTGCGCACTGTTTCAGAACCTACACTTTTAATAAAAATTTATAAAGCACTTGCGGAATGTTTACTTACATATTGTATATGTTCGTGGGGGGCAGCAGCAAAAACAAATTTAATAGAACTGGAACGAGCACAAAGATCTCTCCTCAAAGTAATATTATACCTTCCATTTAGGCATTCAACTACTGAACTATTCAAAACGGCAAACGTACTCTCTGTGCGTCAATTATATATCTATAATTGCATTAAAAAATACCATAAACTTGCGGTACCGTATCTACCCTCCACTGGAAAAAGACGAGAACGTTTCACAGCTGAGCGTGTGAGATGTAAGATTGCTCGACAGCATTATCAATTTCAGGCACCAAGACTGTACAATTACTTTAGTGTAAATAATAAAATGAGAAACATGTCTATATACCAACTAAAATCTAAAATTTTATTTTGGTTGCGTAAGTTTACATACTATGAGTTGGAAAATCTATTAAAAATAATTCAATAGTACGAGTCATTTCCTATCAAGTATACTAAAAACACACATATACACACTCACCCGGGCACACGAACACACACACACACACACACACACACACACACACACACACACACACACACACAGACAAACGCACACACATGCACAAACACATGTACACATACACACGCACACATGTACGGACCATGGATGCAACACACATATTCATGCATATTTTTATTATTATTTTTTTTAAATTTTTTTCTTGGCATTGTAAAAATTGTATTTATTTTTGTTACCTTGTTCTGAGTTGTGATAAGCTGATAAACCATTTTGTAATTGTAATTTAATGGAAATGGGAAGGAACTGATTCCCGACACACAGCTATTGCTAGTTCGGGAGTCAGGGCTTCAACTTTGTAGTGTCAATATGGTTTTATTCAATAAATAAATTTATTATTACAGTTATTATTATTAAGTTAAGGGATAGTGATATTCACAAGATCGTAATTCTAGTTAGTAATAGTAAAATTCAATGAATTGAAAAATATATTAAAAAGTTATAATCAAATAATATATCACCTTACCAAACTGTGCTTTTTCATGTGGTTTTCAAATGTGGCCTGTACTTCAAAACCTCTAAAGCAAAGGTCACACTTAAATGGACAATGTTTGTAATTACTCGACTCTTTTCTTAGCAGCACCTCTTGTTTTGCTTCCTCTGGTGTCAATAACACCACTGTTGCATAGCCTTCAAAAAAATTTGCATCAAATTTAGAAAGCATGCGTTGCTTTTCGCTACTATTTGCACTATTTTCAAATTTAGAATTACTAACATGTTTTGCTAATGGTTCATTATCTAGGTCACTAAAAGAGCTATCTTCTTGACTTTCAGCTATGTTAATATTTATTTTATCTTCAATTTTGGTTTTTACTTTTCTTCGCTTTGTTTTATATTGTTTTTGATTCGTAGTGTTTACTTTTTGAATTTCTTCAACACCATTATCCAGAATATTGTCATCTTCCAATGAATATACTGCTAATTTAATATCTTCGTCTAAATTATCATACTCAGTTTCATGTTTTATATCAGTAATGTTTATTCTACTACATACAGCAACATCATTTGTTGAAGTTTCTATGTAAACCTCTGATTTTATTTCTTCATAGAATTTTTCTTCCCCATTTTTGTAACTATTAGTCAGTTGAAATATATCATTGTAAATTTTTGTGGGAGAAATAGTAATTTTTGACTGTAAGTTACATTGTTTTCGGTCCAAGTGCTGAATGTGCTTTTTGGTTATCTATAAGCAAAGTAAAAGAATATGATTATTTGTTACCTTTTAATGTTTACTTATTATGTTAAGCAAAAGTTTTGTATTCTATGAGCTTGTTGAACAAACTTGTAAGACTGGGAGGCTTTTAAGTTTTAATGTATTTTTGTGATTGCAAAATGTTCTCATTTTCCTACATCAATTGTTACTGTAACGCAATGTAAATCTAAGATATTTCACATATTTTTGCAGCATGAAACTCATCCACTGTTCCCTGTAGCTAATCCTTTTCTTTTATGAGATTTTTATAATCTCCATGCAAGCTCACACTGCTCCTTGGCATTGCGAATATTGATTTCACTAGTATTTATAAATAGCTAAAAGAAACAAAGCTAAAGAAAACAAACGTCCAGCTGTAGAATTATATTTACGGACAAGAAATCAAATTATCAAAAAACCAATTGACTTAGAAAGTAAATATTTAAATATTAAAAAGAATAAAAAGAATCGTAATAATAATGATCATTGTTACCCACCGTCTCTTTTAGGTGCGGCACTTATCATTTTAATATTAAAGATTTTAGAACTGATTTTTCTTCTCACTCAAAGGCTATATAGTCATTACGCGAGGAAACCACCAGTATCTTTTGCACTATACAGTGATATATTTAGCCATATACATAAGATTATATGTTAAATATTTATTTTAATAAACAAACAGTGACAAATCTATATTATGTAGCAAGATACATACGTAATATTTGGTCGAGGCTCACAAAACATGTACTATAAGCATACTTTTCGTGAGCCGAATTTTGATTAAAAAAATAATTCGAAAGTTCTGAACAAATAAATCTTTTTGTCTCCTGTGTTGGATATTATTCACTTGTCAATATCGAGCTATTTAAATTGTTAATTTATATGAATTCATCCAAAACTTACTCGTTTATTTAATAGAAAAATAAAATGTGTCCACAACAAACAGAAACCTTTTTTCTCATTGTGTTTGGTACTGTTTATTGTGATATCTTCGTAGTAACTAAAATGTATGGGAATAAAATTACTACCCCAATAGTAAATATAATAACTCATTAAAAAATGACAAAACTATGTAAAAGAACAAATGTTTCAATGATGTTTCATGTTTATGTACCAGTAGTACTCATACGTAGAAACATGTATGATTTTTTTTGTGAAGGCAACATTACATTTAAAGTTGCATGGTAAGTAATAACATTTATTTGCTAAGGTTAAGGCCAATTAAGATGTATATGTAAAGTTACAGCTTATATACGTCCCACTGCTGGGCACAGGCCTTCGCTCATTTCTGAGAGGGTAGGCAGGTTTAATTTCTGAGAAGGTAGGCAGGTTTCATGCGTGTTGGCGAACTTCACATGTCTTCTAAAATTTTTTTCTTATTCTTCAGACATGCCGGTTTCCTCACAATATTTTCCTTCACCACCGAGCATGTGATAAACCAGCACTTAAAATTGCAATTAACAATGTCATTGGTGCCGGCAGGGATCGAACCTGGGTTACTCGCGGTTCTATTATATTTACAGCGAGCGTTAACCATCTGAGCTACCACGACTCTCATTTTGAATAATGTAAATAATTTTGTATTCTAAATTAAATTACCTTTCATTTCATGTATAATTATTAAAAAGTGAAAATCACTAATTTTATAAAAAGTTTTTGACAAAACTTTTGACCTGACTAGGTATGTCCAAGCTAAGAACATGGACCAGACGCCATTTGTGCTCATGTTTTACCAGTATTAGAATTGATCAAACAGAAATTACCCAAGGTAAATGGAATTAATTTTTACTCAGATGGTCCTACTGTTCAGTAATGTCAAAAGAAAAGCTTTTGTCAAAATTAATGAAAGAATGCAGTTTTCCCATTTTCAACATGGAACTTTTTCAAAGCCTCCCACAGCAAAGGAGCCATTGATAATGTAGGGGGGGAGGTATAAAACCTAAATTAGATTAATTTGTCGCTTATGGTTCGGTTCCTGATCCTAAAACAGCTTATGAACTTCTCCATACGTTTGAAACCAAATTAGAACTTTTTTGTGTTCCTGACTATACCATACTGAAGAAATCAGTAAATCTCGTACCAGTCCCAAACACCATGAAAATCCATCAAATTATTAACAACATTTACTCTATTTTCTATCACTATCTAAGTCGTTTTTACAAAAAGTGTAGTCCAGGTTTTTGCAACTGTATTAATATGAAATCTGCAGACTAATTAAAACAAACAGCAGTAAAGAACGAAAAAACAATACTGCCCAACGTGATTACAATATTATCAGGCATAAAGCATACTGAGGAAAATAAGTGTTACTTAGATTTGACTCAATATGGCTCATTTAATTTTAAAGAAGTTGACCCAAATACTAAAATTGTTGCTCCCTTCATCACAAAATTAATACAAATAAATAAAATCTGAAGAAAAGAAAACTTACTGACATAAACCTCATAACTAAGAAAATCAGAAAAGAGTATGAAAGCAGCACAAACAAAGACTTGAATTCATTGCATGATTCTTCCGACGAAAAATATCACATTTCTTATAATGATGATTACTTTGATGACACAAATTTTCAAATGAAAGAGCAGGACAATATATCAGATTGTAGAAAAAAACAGACCCAAATAATATGGAAAGAAAAAGAAGGAACTGAACAGTCAAGTTATAAAGATATAAAAAAATGACCCTTCTTCTTAATCCTCACCCTCCCTCCTCCCACTCCCACTACTGTATGTGAGTACCGGATGTCTATAGTTTAACTAGCCAATGTTCACCAGAGGCTGTAATTAATGAATTAATTAATTAATTCAACTTACTGTTGCACTTTCCTTCATCATCTGGGAAATAATATTATTTGCAGTATTACATTTTTGTTTAAACTCTTGATACTTTTGCAAATGATACACACACTCATAGCAAGCATTTGGCTTTTGGTAACTGTTTACCTATAAAAATGCACAAATCTAATATATCAAATAATTTATACTTGGAAACATAATAAAAAATATACAAATCATTTGCATACTTACTGGCGATTCTAAAATGTTATAGTAAAAGTCTAAATACGATTTGCTTAAAACACAGATTTTCACGTTTGTCGCTAAACATATTGAACAAAACTTACACTGTTCCATTTTAAAGTAATATTATCACTTATAAAAACGTATTAAATGCAATATTATCATATAAACAAAAACCAAAGAAATTAATCACATGTACCAAAATGTTTCAAAACAAACTCATGATACAAGTCAACAATCAACAAGTCATTTATATCTCAGTCTCAGTAATTTAAAACCTCTCGTCGCAGAACACTATAATTTTCCTACTCGAAAACAGTAAGTAATAAATGCCTCTCAAGTTGATTTTTATTCTACAATGCTATTATATAATTGCTTTATTTTGTTTGTGTGTTTCTCCATAGATGCCATTTTTCTCTGAATATATGCTCTGTCTCACAGTTGAACACTATTACGACAATATTACTCCTGATCGGATATCGGAGGTGCTCTGGAGCTCTGTCTAGTCTGGTCTAGTCTACGGTTTGTTGATTCATAAACAATACTTTTTCATTTTGTAACTGACATTACAGCTCTAGGATCTAGCCCTTCTGAGCCTATAATTTCTTTCGGAACCTACGTTTTCATATACTTTTTTCTTTACCTACAATACAGACCATGAAGGTTAGAGAACAGGAGAACGATCGCCGTAGAAAATGGTGTCCCTGAAATATGGACACCGTAGACAGAGAAACCTACAGACTAATGATTAGCGTGGCCTCGACTGAAAAAGGACGATAACGTAGTTTTAGGTTATACAATAATCTTTATGACTTTTAAACATATTTAGATGAAAATTTTAATTGTTCTAAGAACTGAACTGAACAAGATTCACCAATCTTAAGCTCACTAAACACTTTTTTCTCACTTAAACTAACTTGTAAACTCCTTAGATCGCTACGAACTGTCAAAGTTGTTAGCAAAGTGAAGTTTGAACGAAAAAGTTTCCTTGGCCCCGTGTTACCGAGTACCCACCCACTTGCGTCCTTTGCGGACAGACTGGCCATACGGCCAACTTCAGAGGCTGCCCTCGCGCGCCTCGCCCCAATCTCGGCAACAAAGCTGCCAAAAAAGCTCCGCCACCGGTCAATGACCGTACATTCCCGGCTCTCCCATCCAAAATGCCCCTTCAGGGCAACTCTCAGTCACCTCAGGACCTATATCGGCCCCCTCAGGAACCCTATAGGCCTCCCCACCTTCGCCCACTAGGGCCCAGACATCAGGCGGAACCCTCTTACGCCGATAACGTTGATACAGTATATTGCTATCCGCAATATCGACGTAAGAGAGATCGCAATTTTAGCACGCAAACTGCGCGCTTCTCAGTCCCCTCAGGACCATCTGCTCGCGCTCACCGAGCACCAACACCTTCTAAGCTCAATATAATTAGTCATCCCATTCGTAAGGTGCCTTAATTAGGCAGCAATTCTTCCCAGCGGCTACTCGCCGCTAGCGCCCCCCTTTCACCCAAGGGGGGTCGCGTTCGATACGGCTTAAAGATCTCTAGCTAGATTGTTAAGCCAGTCCCTAAAGGCGGTTTTTAGTGGGTAAAAATCTCCACATAACCACGCAGCAGGCTGCGTGGTATGCTATGAGCATTCACCGCCTCCCTTCCCCGCTTTCAGGAGGGTTGCCCATATTACTTTGGGCGCAAAAAAAAAAAGCAATTTATAATTTATGATATAAACTTGAGAAGAATTTATTATTAATACTATTTTTGAGAGGGAAAATTAGTAAGTGTTCTGCGACGAGAGGTTTTATATTACTGAGACTAAAATATAAATTACTTGTTGACTTCTTGTATCATGAGTTTGTTTTGAAACAATTTGGTACATGTGATTAATTTCTTTGGGTTTTGTTTATATGATAATACTGCATATATTACGTTTTTATAATTGATAATATTATATTGTTAATATTATTAGTAGGCTAGGTGGTCTTTGAATACAACAATTATGGAGTGTGAGTAGTACAGATTTTGTATAAAAAAGTGTCCGTAGGTAAGCGTTAAATAAGGGTGACGCCACTGTAGCTATAGTCTAAATTTTAAAGAACTTTTTATCATGTTTTTACAATAATTATTTTTTTCCTTGCAAAATTTTTATTTTCAAAATTACTCTCAACGTATTTTACGGCAATTTTTCGTACCCTGTAGCTACTCGAGCGCTGTTGTGGAGAGTTTTTGAACTGTTATTTACTACTTACAGATGGACACAGTTTCAACTATTCTCTTGTGGGAGATTGTCTCTGCAATGGAATCTACTGCCTCCGCTCATCTATCCGGGTGGTAGCTGGAGGTAGGAGACTAGACTACTAGTAGACTTAAGAGTCTCCTCAGATCCTCCTTGCAGCTACAGCCGAAAGTCGCACAATGTGGGACCCCATTCCCTTGAGGTGAGCGAAACACTCATGACACGCTCTGCGGTTAGTAGCCGTGCTGATCATGCAGTCGGCGGTGATGCCATACACTTACATCACGTCTGCAGGAATGGCGGTCTGGTGGCGCTCACGGAGGCTTTATGGCCAGTGTGCCAATTTGCCGAAACTGTGTGATGTACATTCACTGTGGCTGAATTTGTTCTTGTTCTGTATGGCAGTTACACGCATTAACATGCGCAACTTCGGTCGATGATTGTGCTTACGCACTACCAAGGGGCCAAGCCCTCTTTTACGGGTTCGCCAGTTATTTTGATGTGGCGCACATCGCGCGCAGCTTGCTGGAGCCGTGTCGTCTTGTATCGGGTATTTTATATATATACATATTGTGAGCCTTTCTCAAGCGGGAAGCGTTAAATTATAATGTAAACCTGATACAAGTGGAATAGGGACGTTTTTATGTTCTTAACCTTTCTTCGTGGCCGGGGTTCACTTAGCTAATGAGGCACTACCAACGGCTTTTAATTGCTCTAGTGAATATTCATTCTTCCAAAAGACACCTAAAATACCTAAGTTACTAATAAACACAATGTAATTAAGGGTCCTAACTAAGACGATCACGCCATAGATATTACAAACGGCCTCAAAGAAAAGATCAGAACGTATTTTATCTATCCTGGTCACATATAAATAATATAATAATAATAAAATAATATATAATAAGGAGGGCGGAGCGTTATAAAACGTATATGTGGTAATAATATTCGTCTTTGTTCCACAGATAGATAGCCTTACAAGCCTATTAATGCTGGTGTTCCACAAGACTGCGTGCTATCGCCAAAGCTGTTTTTTCTGCATATCAATGATATGTTGAAAACTCGTAACATTCATTGCTATGCAGATGACAGCACTGGTGATGCTCTGTACACCGGCCGTGCCAATATTTCTCGGGAAAACGTCTCCAAGTACCGGGACAAACTTGTGTCTGAAGTCGAGTCTTTGCTGAACAGGTCTCGGTTTGGGGGCGACTAAATCTAGTCCAGTTTAACCCCCAGAAGACACAAGTTTGCGCGTTAACCGCTAAAAAGAGCCCCTTTGTCGTATCTTCTCAGTTTTAAGGCACTCCCCTTGTTGCCTCAGCCAGTATTGGAATCCTCCGCGTCGACAAATCGAGTGACGTGCAGTTTTGTGGTCACTTGGAAGAGAAGGCCAAATTGGCTTCTAAAAAGCTTGGTGTGCTCGGCAGAGCGGGACAGTATTTCATGCCGGCACACCGCCTGAGACTTTACAAGGTGCAGGTTCGATCGCACATGGAATACTGTTCCCATCTTTAGGCTGGAGCTCCCCAGTACCAGCTCCATCCACTTGACCGCATCCAGCGCAGAGCGGCTCGAATCGTCGACGACCGAGTGCTTTCCGAACGGCTCGATTCACTGGCGTTGCGAAGAGATGTTGCATCTCTTTGCGTATTTTATCGCATCTATCACGGGGATTGCTCTGAAGAATTGTTCGGATTAATCCCAGCCGCCAAATTTCGTGAACGCACTACGCGGCAAACGTCCCGATACCATCAACACCATCTGGATGTTTGGCTGTCCACCACTGTACGTTTCAGAAGGAGTTTTCTTCCGCGTACGACCTCTCTGTGGAATAGTTTACCACCGGCGATTTTTCCGGACCAGTACGACCTGGGGACCTTCAAGAAAAGAGCTTACTCCTTTCTAAAGGGCCGGCAACGCACCTGCAATTCCCCTGGTGTTGGGGTTGATCATGGGCGGCGGTAGTCACTTAACTTCAGGTGAGCCGCATGCTCGTTTGCTCTTCTATAAAAAAACCCATATTTATTATATAAATAAAGAAGATTTTTTAATCAGATTTATTTAGTCATAATATACAATATTTCGATACAAGTAACTTCCACAGTGATAATTGCCGAGGGCTAATGCAAAAGTAGCTGGCTTTTTTAAGAATGATATGGGTGGTGTATAATTAGAGTTTGAGTGCAAAACTGTATTGTATAAAGTCTCAAGCTGCATCAATAAAAATCTAACGGCGTTAAAAAGTCAATAACTAAAAGAAAACTCGATATAGAAAAATACAACAAAGTCTTACTTTGTGATGAAAATTTGAGAGACCCTGTGTGTATAATTAAATCAAAAAATCATAAAATTTTAACTCAGAAAGTTAACAAATTAGTACTCAGTAGTAACGATAACAAAAGACAAATAGCGCAAAATAAAATTGAAAGCTTTCCGTGGGTATTAAAACTTAAACGATATTTGAAATTGTTTCGTGGTTGCGCGGAAAACCATTCCTATTTTATTTTATTCGAAGGTAGGCTTGCCAAGCGTTTTGTCTTTTCCATGAACTATCGTCCCTCTTACACACCGGGGTGGTGGGGTGAGAGGGGAAACAAGAAGGTTCTAGAATGTCACGTGATTCTCGCAACCAATGAGAAGCGCGCCCCACCGAAACGTATTGAGAGAAGAACCAAAGCAATATAAGTGCGCGCACGGCCCTCGTGCGCTCTCTTCCCTTTGCGCACCTAGTTGGAACCACACCGCCTAGGACAGTCGCGTCCTAGAGGGCTTTCTCCACGCACACCGCTAGTTCAACCGCACCACGCCTGGAGCAGTTGCGCTCCAGGAGTAACCGCCTCACCTCGTGTGAGATATAGTCACGCACCGCTCTCTTCCATC